TAAATTTACAAGCCTGTACTTTGTTATAAGTGGAAGTACTGATTAAACTTCTTTACTCAAGTAAAAGTAACAGAGTATTTGTTAACACAAGTATCTGTACTTTTACTCAAGTACGGAAAGTGAGTACTTTTGCCATCTCTGGTTAAAACATGGAAGCATCTGAATTGTTTACATCTATATTGAAATGTTATCTGGTCTGTAGTTCTCTCTACTGATCTTTTGTTTGCGTCTCTGTGTTCCTGCAGGGTTAAATATTGCCTACCTGAATCCTGCAGCGGTTGGAGCCCATAAGACTTCCACCTTAGCGGACCGGCAAAGAGAGTACCTGTTGGACATGATCCCGCCTCGCTCCATATCGCAGTCCATCACCGGGCAGAAATGAGCCCCGCTAACCTCTCCTGTGTGTCAGAGGCCAGTGTCGTTTGATAACCCCCCCCCCCACCAGGCGCTCCCAGATCAGCTGAGATTTCCCCCCCACCGTTCCATCGCATGCAGTGCCTGTCCGTGTGCCTATCTCAGACCAACCCGTGAGAGTCGACCAGAAACACAAGCCGTCAGCGCATCGCAGTTGTTTTTATTATAGCAGCATCCCCCCCCCCCCCCCCCCGTCCCTTTAGAATCACCGCTTTTAGCGCTTCTACTGCATCGGCCACTTAAGCTCAAGTTGGTTTCCGTTCTGCTATCATTGGTATTTGGCACGTATGTTTCTCTCTCTGCCGTCTGATCTTTGCTTTAAGAGACTATCAGTAACAAGACTTTTATTTTTCTCCACTAAAGCTATTATGACTATTGTTCAAAACAGAAGATCAACAGGGTTCACTCTGGTTGCTATGCAACATCAAGTTTATTTACTCTCAAGTTTTTAAACGTGATTAGTTTGCTGACTCCGGTTTTAAAAAAGGAGTTAAAGATTCTGTTAGAACGAATTTCAGGCTGCGCTGGTTCTGGAGCAACTCTGAGATTCTGGAGCAGAGAGCTCACCGCGGATCAGTGACCCGCCTCAAGCTCTTCATCAGAGGGTCCAACGCCGCCTGACCCCAGACCTGGAGTCGCCCCCTAACCAACGTCAGAACCAAGAGAAACTGACTAATCTGGAACCAGAGAGGATCTGATGGAGTTAAAACATATTTCCCATCTTTAGCAGCTTTTCCTTTGTTTCGGAGGCGACTTTCTGCTGTTACAGGAAGCATCAGACCAAGCAGGCGGGGAGCTGATGAACCAGGAGACGGATGTTCCAGGTTGCGTCGTTCACCGAGGAGCCAGATGCTTTTTTTCTCTGCCCTTTTCTTCAATATTCCCCCTGAATTATTTCCATCCCAGCAGCTCCTCTTTGTTTCTGTGTGCAGAGAGTTCAGAGTCGCTCCTGATCAGATTCTCCACCCAGCATCCCAGTTTATTTTTTCCAAGTGTGTCTCATCCTTTTTTTCCCTGACTTTTTCGTGCGGCGTCTTCAAATGATTTGGTGGCCTACCTGAGAGGCATCGGCTACCGGAGACGATAATAATCTAAAACTGTAAAAATAATTTTTAAAAAATCTATGGATTGTGTATAGATGCCTAGCTACAAAGGAAAAAGGATGCGGATGTTTTACGAGAGACATGGATCAATCATTGTGCGCACCCTGTGCTCACAAGTTGCCTCACTCCAGAGGAGCACTTTTCATATTTCCAAAATGGAAATTTAGTTTAGTTTAGTTTTTCGGTCGTTTGTTGTTGTTTTCAGTACAAAGAAATGAATGTTGGATAGAAAGTAATAAGGTCACGATCAGTTGGGTTTTCATCCTGGTTACAGAATGACATTGATGTGGACTGATCCTCATGCATCTCTCATTGCTATTTATGTTTCACGCGTCGACCGCTGCACACATCCTCAGTCAGTGTTTGTAACAATTTGGTTAACGTGCTCTAATCACTTTAACTCTATTGAAGTTTGCAGGATTTGTAGCGCCACGCTAACATGCTGCTATCAGACAGATTCCTCTGAGGTGAACATTATAGCTGGAACTGCTCTGCTAGACAATCTCCATATTTCATACGTCTATATATATATAATTTATATATATATATTAGGGCTGCAACCAACAAATTATTTCACAAGTCGATTAATAATTGGATAGCAAAGGGTTCCTTTAAGAAGACTTATGGCTTATCAAATTAAACAGGATAAAAGTAAAACTTTTCTACTTGAGGAGTTCTGGATATTGACAGCCTAAACTTTTTTTTAAATCCGAAATTCTAAATATTTATATTAATTTTTTTTTATTTTGATTTAATTCCTGCTCTTAGTGGGTTGCTCTGTCAACTAAAGGCATGTTTTATAGTCTATATACTCCAATTAAAGATTAATTGATTATTAAATTAGTTGATTATTTCAACAATTGATTGATCACAAATGATCAGATTCATTGTTTCAGCCCTATTTTATATATATCTATATATATATATCTATATATATATTCTCACACATCCTCAGTGAATGGGACATGCAGTCTGCAGGCAGCTGAAGGTTGAACCGTTTTTATTTCCACATACCTGACATTGTAAATGTTTCCATCATGGCGTAGCGATGCTTTGTGTTTTCTGTGCTGGATGTTAGGGAAGACAAAGGATTATGGCATTTTGTTTGCAGCCCCAAGTCATGACTTGTACAAATTCTGAGCAAGGTTTATCTTTTTTTATTTTTTTTTAACACCTCTTTGTTTGCAGGGTTTTTAGAGCCTCCTGTTAATTAGGATTTAGAAACGGTGTCTACGTAGGCAGCCCTGATCTGTTCAATCTTTGTCGCCCAGGTCTTTGCAGACTTGTCAGATTGTCCCGCCCACCTGACTGAAACTGTCTTAATCATTCTGCTTAATCAGTTTGCAGTCTCTCAGGTTTGTAGCTGTGTTCACTCTGTTTGCAGTATTATTCACGGTACATAGTTACCCCCTCATGCATTAAGTTGTTTTGAATGGGATGTTCAAGCCGTTCTCATAGATTACTCTGAAGGGACAACGCTTCCTTAAGCCCCATTTTAATTCTCTACAATCGTCCGACCCTAATGAGACAGAAACACCTGAAAGAGGGAGTGTCTCACATCATTTTCCATTTAAATAGGAAAGTATACGACCGCCTATTGACTTTCTGGACAAAACTCTGCGATTCTTAAACTTCCAGATCTTCTGTCTCTCCTTCTTAGAAACTTGTGACCTGAATCTTCATACAGTCGGTTCAGAAAACATCTCAAGGTTATCTATACAAGAGCCAAGGTCAACACAGGTTAATACAAGGAACCTGTATCGTTCCATTAATGGCTTTAAAAATTTGTTGGATCTATTGGATCATTTGATTCTAAGTTGGTCCGAATTCAGTTAATTTAAATGCAGTTTATTCAAATCCGATTAAATAAGGTTTCTATTGGCGTTCTCCACAACTCCATATTGATTTTGATCTTAAAATGTAATTTTGTTAAAAGTTATCATTGACTTCAAAGCAATTCCTCCTCTGAAGCTATTTTATGGCTGCAGGTTCCTGTTTGTGTGAAGCGCTCCGTACGAATCTCTGTACGGCCAATTTTCTAGAATAATGGCAGCAGGTCCTTCTGTGGCTGTTTTAAGGATGCATTGATATAAACACAGTCAGAGTCTATCTTCCATTGAGGTGTGTCGTTAAGCGCCAAAACGGCCACCGAAACTATAGAGTTTTATCAAAAAAGATCAAAGCGTTTATTTAAAAATTTAGAAATAAATTGCGTATCTGTCTTACAGACGAAACTGGAAGTTAGATAAATAAGTGCTCTGTTGGGAAGGTTTAAAACAATCATTCGTAACAGAACTTTGTATTCAGAGTTTCATGTTTAACAAGAATAATATCGAGCTATTCATTTATCAAGAATCCAAATAAATCAAATTATAAAAGTATCTCCTAGCTTCTCTCTGCTAAATATTAGACGAGTTGAAAACCTTTTCTAAATAATTTTGATCTTCCTAATAATGGAGAATCCAGACTAGCTCGTTTTGACTAATCTGGATGCAGATGAGAATCACCCATCAACAATCAACGTACAATATTTTACATTTCTTCAATGCCATCAGCACCTATAGTAAAAGGGCCAAACACTGAAACCTGTGGTACTCCATAGCAAACGTTTCACTTGCATGAAACAAACTAGATTCTGTCGGCTGCAATCTTAACCACCTAGTTCTGTTCCCCCCATTAATATAGAAAATGTTTTCATCATTTTATTTATTAAAATCACATCATACCCAACCTTTTGTAAATAAAAGGAACAGATGATCTTCTTTTTAATTCGATTGAGAAGTCCGTACCTTAAGTATATTATCAGTAGTACCTTCAGTGCTAGTAAAAGTTAAAATGGCCCCCAACATGTTAAGAAGCATGGTTCATGCAAACATAAAAACCTCTGGCCATAGAGGTCTGTTTGAGCGAGAGAATGTAGCGGTTCATAGTCTGTAGACCTTCCCCTATTTAACCCCTAATGTAAAGCTGGACATGTCAGAGCAGCTGTTAAAAAATAAAAATAAAGCAGTTTAATGTGCTGCCTGGGAGCTACAGTAGATAACTGGTTTCAAAGCAGTTGATGGTGGAGGAGGAGAACTGCTGCTGTGAACAGTTTAGCTTCTGTCTTGGATCAGAGCCTTGAAATATTTCCATAAATACAAAAGATGGAGGAGAGACTAGTGGTGTCTGTGTGTCTGCAGATTTCTACACAACATGTAAAAAATAAATTGTTAAAGAAAAAGCAGTAGATGCTTTTCTTCTGCTAAGATATTAACTATCCATGGCCTCTTCATTAAACAAGAATCTAAACTTGCAGCTTAATTCTTTCAAAGTTGTGGACTTTAAACCCATTTGACTTTTTATTCTGTTCTGATCTTTTCTTTTTGTTTTTTCATACCAATCTGACTGGATGAACATCAGCAATATTTAGTTTCCCAATAACACCAGCTCTAGGTGGGACGTCAGGATTTATGCATCTCAGAAGTTGAAGGCTTTGGGGCTTTGTCTGTTTTTTTTCCCTGTTTGCAGTATGGCTGCCGTAATATTTGGGTCTTTTTATTTTACGCAGGAATTCACACGGTTCTGTTTGTGTAATTATTATCTGCACAACATTAAAGCTGATAGAAAGGAATCTGGACTATGATCGTGTTTTTCTGACGACCAGTTTTCAGTTTAAGTTTCATTTACTTTTTTTTTTCTTGAATATTGGAGGAAAGGTTTAAGTTGTTTGTGGTTTTCACAGATCGTTGCTATCAGCAGCATAGTTTCATTAAAAAACACGCAGTTTGTGTTTTAGATCTAATTGTAAAGTTGAATTTGAGGAAAACCCTTTTCATCCCTTTCTGCCGATGCATCTTTTATATTTCCAATATTCATTTTCAGCTACAAATGTTTTTAAACCTCTGAAATCCTTTTTATTTTCATGTCTTGACTTGAGTTCAGCTTTCTGTTTTATTGCAGTTTTGAAAAAGAAAAAAAAAAACATGAAATGTATTGACTATTGAAATAAATGACACGATATTTGCTAGGTTTGAAGTAATAACGACTTATTGTACAGAAGCATTTTCCTCCCTTGTACTGAAGAATAAATTAAATGGTTGTACATTGTGTAGAAAAATCAAACAAAAAGCCATGAATATTGTGAAGCTTGTCATTTTGTTTTGTGATCACTGTGTATTATTGTGTAACAAATGTGCAAAATGTTAGGGATACCCCTCTACCCCACCCATGTGGTTTCGCTAGATGCATTTGCTTGATTCTCGGATTTTACAAATTTTGGACTAAAGTGTTTACTGATTCAGGTGAACAGCATTGCAGTCTAAGACTGAGCTTTTGAAGCGTTAGAACTTGATGTATAAACAAAGGTTGGAATGGAAGTTGGTTTGTAATTCAATTACGAATCTAGTTTGAACATGATGTAAAGGAGCACTTATTATTATTCTAGCTGTTACAGAAGCTTATAACGCCATCAGATCTCTGCATTGGTGAAACTCCAGCCTGTTCAAACATAAAAAGCGTTCTGGTTAAATGTTGGTGACCTGAGAGGAGCTCATCCTGAATCAGGGATCACTGTTTCTGCCGACACCAGCATAGAACAGTCGTGGTCCTGCACTCTTTGACTTTCTTTTCTTGGTCGTTGTTGCTTATGCTGGAAAAATTCCCAGTCCGGTTCATCCAACGATATTTTTTCTTTGCATCGTTGAAACAAATGTTGAAGAGGGAGACTAACTGAAGACGTTTCTGTTTCGCTTACATCAATCCTGACCTTTTGCACATAGTTGATATTTAATCTTCAAAGGTAAAAGAAAATAATGCTGTTTGAATACTGCCAGTTGATTGACAATTATGCATTGATTGAAAAAAAAAAAATAAGCTAATTTTGGAGGAAATAACTTTGTTATATTTATCTCTTGCAAGCTATGTTTAATAAAGGTTGAAATAATTTGCTTCAAAGTGTGTTGTTGTTACCTGTGTGGTGAGTCCTTTAAAAAAGCTTTTTATTATCAACATTTCAAACTTTTTATACTTGTAGGCAGTTGGGTAATTTATAGGAAATTGTATCATTTTACCTTTAGTGGGACACAAACGGCAGAGTTCATAGTTAAAGCCAACAATCCACTGCAAATAACTGATATATAATCTATGGTATTAGTCTGATTAATCGACTGTGGCTAACTTAAAAAAATACTTGCAGCAAAGAAAATGCAACCAGTTATCAAAGAGAGCCAGGGCTACTAAACCTGCCAGGTTTTGTTAATAAAAAAAAAAAAAAACAGCTGTTTGTTCTACAGCACCACTGTTATTCACTAAGACTACGTGGCACCAGCCTGTCTGCATCTTAAACTTGATGCAAGACCCATCATTGAACCATGAATTTAGATGGTATCTGCATGGCTGGCATGTGACCTTAATGAAGCAAAATCAGCAAAACTGATGCAAAGAATTCTATATTTCTA